AGATAAAGGAACACTGCATTATGATTGGACCTCATAAACACATCTTCTCTTGCTTGACTTGTGTAAAGGAAAAGCTGAGTTCCTCATTATGGACCCATGGAAAAGACATTTCCAGGCATTAGGGACCATAACCATACCAAGGTTGTTCAACCCAGTTAAATATCTTCCTAGTTAGAGTACATAATAGTGTCAATGTACAAGTAGATTTTACACTTCAGTTTTATCCTAGCCCATCTTGGGCCTAAAATTAGCTAAATATCATTATTACAGAGTTACTATTACCATTTTTAGAGAACATTTATTTTACTCAGTAATTCTCTATTAGGTATAAAGGGTGTGGAGACATTCAATAAAAGTGGGAAGGCGATGCCTGCAAGGGTAGAAGCTCTGTATGTCTGTCACTAGCACAAATATCAATTCTGTGCAAAATATATATTGATATTAGGTCTGAGTCACTTGTACTTGAGTGTAAATAGCCTCCAAAACAAAAGTGCAAACATCACTGAATATGCAGTATTTCAAGCAGAAGTGCTGAGCATACAGACTCTGTCCACCATGACCACTTCTAAAAGAAAAAAGTGGTCATGGAGGTTGGAGTTGCTTTTTAAACAAGTGTTATTTTGGAGTAAAAGTAGGAATGGGCTTCTTTTCAGATCCCACAATGTCTGAAGAGGAGGCTACACTTCTTCTTCTGCCTGTTCAAAAATACTGTGCACTAACTATTACATTCTCAGCTCACTTCACAGACTTAACTTGCAGTGTACATTTCAGTTGTACAGCAGTATCTGACAGACTTATTCACAAACTGTTGTGTCATGGCCCACCTATCAGCAACACCATTCATTATATTTGATGACTGAAATGGCTTCCAAATCCTTAGCTACATGTTCAATAAACCACGGTTAAAGTCTGACTGAAGCTTTCATGTGCTGTAAATCCGGGAACTTTAGAATAAATTCAGTATCTTTTTCTGTTAGGGTTTTTTTTTTTGTTGTTGTTTGTATAACTCCTACCATGTATTAAAAATTTAGTCCAATTCAGTCATAGAGTGTCCCATTAACAGAGTAACATGAGAAAATATCATTTTCAGGAGCAATATAACAATATAATCTAGTATTTAATTTACGCCAATCATTGAATTGTGGTAAACCGGAAACAAACAGAGTTATTTAGCAAATCATGAAGTTACCAGCAAATTTTAACATTTTGGCCTAACAAATTCAACTGGAAAATTTATTCAAACTCACTTATATTCAGCAATTGTTTCCTGGTGAATTCCTGATAATTCATAAATCAGTAACTATCTCTACCATGTTAAATATAGATCAAAATAGTGCTTCAAGAATTTCGGCCTAAATTTAGACAATTTGGACATTTCACTTTTTAGCAAATAATACCCTTCCTTTTGTAATAATACTCAGTGGCAGGCCTCCAACATTCCCGCTTTCTTGTTTACCTATATGTTTTGGGGATTCGGCTTCCCTTCCTGAGCAAGCACACTGTGAGCTCATCATTACATATACTTACTGTGTGACGCAGGCATTAGGACCACTTGGGACTGTCCCGAGTGGCTGTCTGTCAGCTTGGCGTACCTGATGACAATATGACACACCTCTTTAGTAGGTCTGCCCATTATGGGTGTCATCAGGGAACGCTAGTTGAAACATTGGAGTTGCCCTCTGAAAGCCTGTTCGCTTGCCTCAAGTCCATATCTCCCAATGTTGGGGGAGGGATGCATTGGTATCAAAGTTATTTGATTGATTATTTGATTTATTGGTTATAACTGAATTTTGAATTTATGGCAAAAGTAGCTGAACTACAAGGACAGCTGACTTGGAGATTTTTTCCAATTTGACTATTTTTACCTTAATTTTGAAATTCACTTTGAATTCTCACTTCAGTAAATAACTTTGATAGTGAATAATTGGCAATTATGACAACAGTGGCAATAATGACAACAGTGGCGTACTAAGGGGGGGCGGTCCAACCTGGGTGCCACCAGGGTGGGGGGTGCCATGACCCTGGTCTGGGTGCTGGAGTGGGCTGTGTGAGCTGTGGCCGCATAGTGCTCCATGGTAGTTAGGGTACCATGCGGCCAGAACAGCTCACACATGCAAAGAGCAGCTGAACTGGCCTCATGGAGGTAAAGTGGGGGCGGAGCTAATACAAATAGGGGCCAGAGCCAAACCGGCATCAGGGGTGGGGCTTAATACTGCCCTTACCTGCTGCTGTTACTGCTGCACATAGAGGTGCAGCAAGATGGAATCCCTGCTTCTCCATAGGCTTCAGGGAAGGACTTCAGGGAATCCAGTACTCCTCCAGCCCACTGTCTGTAAGTAAGAGTGTGTGTCTGTGTGTGTGACTATGTGTGTGACTGTGTGTGTGTGTGACTGTGTGTGTGTGTGTAAAACTGTCTGCCTGTAACTGTTTGTGTAACTGTCTGCCTGTAACTTTGTGTGTGTGTGTGTATGTGTGTGTGTGTGTAACTGTCTGCCTGTAACTGTGTGTGTGTATGTGTGTGTGTGCGTGAGGCTGTCTGCCTGTAACTGTGTGTGTGACTGTCTGCCTGTAACTGTGTGTGTGTGTATGTGTCTGCCTGTAAGTGTGTGTGTGTGTGTAACTCTCTGCCTGTGACTGTGTGTGTGAGTAACTGTATATGTGACTGTCTGTCTGTAACTGTGTGCATGACTGTCTGGCTATGACTGTGTGTGACTACCTGTAACTGACTGTGTGTGTAGCTGTCTGCCTATAACTGTATGTGTGACTGCATGTGACTATGTATGTGTGACTGTCTGCCTGTGACTGTTTGATGTTGCCTGTAACCGTGTGTGTGACTATCTGTCTGTGACTGTGTGCATGTGACTGTCTGCTGCTGCCGTGTGTGTGTCAATGTATATGTGACTGTCTGCCTGTAACTGTGTGCATGACTGTCTGTGACTGTATGTGTGACTGCATGTCACTGTGTGCGTGTGACTGTCTGCCTGTAACTGTGTGTGACTGTATGCCTGTAACTGTGTGTGTGACTGTCTGCCTGTAAATGTGTGTGTGGGGCTGCAGGGATTTTGTAATAGGGGGCAGGGGTTTTGTATTGGGACAGGAGTCTTTATAAGGGGGGATAAGCAAGGGGTTTGTGGAAGGGGGTTGCAGGGGTTTTGTAGATGGGGCAGTACAGGATTTTTAGAAGTGGGCAGGACAGGGGTTTTATAGGAGGGGCAGGACAAAGATTGCAAATTGTAAAAAAAAAAAAAAAAAGTTAACAATTTTTACAGGTTTTTTTGGGGGGGGGGGAGTGAGGGGGTGCCAAGCACAGGATCTGCTCCAGATGCCAAATGCTCTAGGTACACCCCTGAATGACAATAAGGTGTAAATAATAAAGAAATCAAACAGTATATTAGAGTTAACCAAAGGTGTCTCACTTATATGGTGTTTATCTTGGCTGCTGCCTCTAAATGTTGCTTCAAACTGTGCGCTTGGAGATATTCTGGAGAGTTTTACTGATTCTTCAACTAAGATTTTTTTTCTAAGATTTTTATTTTTACTGTTACAGGTAAGAGTCATCTCTAGAAAAAGGGTTAATGATTGCACGTGGTTTGATTTCCTGTTGGTAATTGGTAAGGCATCTGATTTGATTAGTTAGGTGTTTGCTAATTGCTATTGATTGTATGTTAATAAGCATAGTCCCACCCAGTGGCGGATCTAGAGCCTGATCTTGGGAGGGGCACTTTTAGATTATTTAAAGAAATAATCCATGCACAATAACCATTACAGCTCTGTGTTGTGGTTATGGTGCCAGGAGTGCCGGGACCCCCTCGCAGAGTAAGTAGTCCAACCATTTAAGAACAGTTTAAAAACTTATCTGGGGTCTACTAGAATCTGAGGCTGTATTAGGGCATAGGAGCAGTGGTGTGTCTGAGTGGTGCAATGTGTGAGGGGTGCAGTGTGTGTGGGGGGGGTGTAGTGTGCGAATGTGTGTGTGTGTGGGACTGTGCATGTGGGGGCAGTGTATGTGTGTGTGGGGCAGTGTATGTGTGTGGGGCAGTGTATGTGTGTGGGGGCGGTGTGTGTATGTGTGTGTAGGGGCAGTATATGTGGGGGCAGTGTGTGAGTGTGTGTGGGGGCAGTGTGTGCATGGGGCAATGTGTGTAGCTGGGGGCAGTGTGTGAATGTGTGATGAGGAGGGTTGGGGGACTTTTTTTATAAAAATGTTTTTTTAAATAAAAATAAATACATTTATTCCCCCCCCTCCCTTCTTACCTTTACTGAGGGAGGAGGGGAGACATTTCTCTATCCGTGGTGGTCCAGTGGGGAATCACTGGTGGTCCCAGTGGTGAGAGTGAGCTCTAGCCTGTAGCTCCAGGTTTGAGGATTTGGAGTGTCTCCGTGCTTGCGAGAGAAGGACCCGGAGGAGCTGCAGGCACATTGCAGGGCTTGCGCTTGTACAGTGCCAACCCTGCATTAGCCGGCAGTGGAGAGCCTCGGGGGGAGGCAAATGCCCCGTTGCCCCCCCTAGATCTGCCAGTGGTCCCACCCAGGTGTTAAACGTTCCTAGTGGGTGATGCTTTTAGGAGTTATATAAGGGTTGTAGATATTAGATTGGCTAATATAGCTTGGTTGCTGCCTTTAAGTGCTGCTTTAAAGTGTGTGCTTGAAGATATTCTGGAGAGTTTTATTGATTCTTCAACTGTCATTGTTTCCTGTAGATCATCTCTTGCTCCTGATTGGGGCCATACTGTTAGCCCAGATAGGAACCCTAGAGCCTCATGTATAGAGCCTGTCACGGCTCTATTTTTGTGAGTTTGATTCTACACATTTTTTTTTTTTTTAATATTAGTATTTTACAGAAAGCACTATTTATGTCTATTTTTTTTTAAATACAATGGATATTTTGGATACCTGTAATAAGTGGTATATTAGACATATTGTGTGTACACTGTGGGTGTAATTTATTTTTATTTGTGTTATGAAAACAGAAGAAGGTAGGTATGTAGAAGAGGATAAAGGTCTAGCTGACTGCCTCAATTAATATTTTTGTTCAGTATTTACAGATGAAAATGAAGGAAACGGACCTCAGTTAGGAAAAAGGTCAAATGAGTAATTTGTTACATGTGAGTTTACAGAGGAAGAGGTTCTATTTCAACTGTCAAAAGTAAAGACAAATAAGTCAATGGGACCTGATGGAATACACCAAACGTTATTAAAAGAGCCTAGGGGTGTACTAGCAAAACCATTAACAGATTTATTTAACCAATCATTGTTAACAGGAGTAGTCCCAGAAGATTGGAAGTTAGCGAATGTTGTGCCCATTCACAAGAAAGATAGTAGGGAGGAGTCGAGCAACTATAGGCCAGTAAGCCTTACTTCAGTAGTGGGGAAAGTGATGGAAACCACGTTAAAGGATAGGATTGTTGAACATCTAAAATCACATGGATTTCAAGATCAGAGACAACATGGGTTTACTTCAGGGAGATCATGCCAAACTAATCTTATTGATTTTTTTGATTGGGTAACTAAAATAATAGATCAGGGTTGTGCAGTAGACATTGCTTTCCTAGATTTCAGTAAGGGTTTTGACACTGTTGCACATAGAAGGCTTATCAATAAACTGCAATCTTTAAGTTTGGATTCCAATATTGTTGAATGGGTAAGGCAGTGGCTGAGTGACAGGCAACAGAGGGTTATAGTCAATGGAGTATATTCGAAGCAAGGTCTTCTTACCAGTGGGGTACCTCCAATAAAATGTGGACTTTTTTATGTAAAATAATAACATTGGACTTAGTTAAAATATTACTTTATTTCTTAAACATCTAAAAAATATATTCATGTGCAAATAACAATATTGGTTCAAAATAATATAAAGAAAGCGTCTTTCTTTATATATTATTGAACAAATATTGTTATTTGCACATGAATATATTTTTTAGATGTTTAACAAATAAAGTAATATTTTAACTAAGTCCAATTTTACTATTTTATATAAAAAGTCCAGACTTTGTTGTTTCTTGCAGCTGATCCTGGTTTCTGCTATATCCCAGGTTGGTGGGGATCATACCACCAATGCCATTCATACTAAAGCAAGGTACTGCTCTACAAAATGTAAGTAGGATACCTTTTCTTATTCTAAATACTACACCTATTTTTGTGTGCTACACAGCTGGAGTCTTTTTTCCATATTTGGAGCATTACCAAACAACATCCTGATTAAATCTTCATACATCCTAAGGCGGGGATTATACCGTCCAAGTGTTATACAGCAGAACTCTAAGTAGCTCAGAAAAGTGTGAGTTGAATATCTATATTTAAAAAAATAATAATACAATAAGGACTCAACACATTTCACTATTATCTGTATATATTGTTCTTTAATTTAAAGATCCTGAACAATCTGGAATTAACACTCTTTGGTTGTGAATAAGTGTACGTATATACCTATATACACATAATCTGCACTATAAGGTTGTATTGAATATCAATTTTATCTGTGTGGTTACTCCTGGCGCAGTAGATCACTTCTGTTTTTTTCACTTATTTATTTGCACCACAGATACAGTTTGTTCTGGTAGAAAATGTCATTGTCTAAAACAAGCCTTTGCAGTAAATAATGTTAGACACTGAATACATCGTAACAATGACAGTTCTATAAAGCCCATTTATACACTGTGTTACTTGTCTGACATTCTTATATCCTTGCACTGTTAGAAACAGAATTATAGTCAAATTGTAATAGAAGTAAAACTCCTCTTCCACTGTCGTGCTCTTCTTTTTATTACCGTGAATAACTGAGCTAAGCATTTCTTAGTATCAAAAAAGAAGATAAAATGGCTCTTTTTTGGATTCCATAACTCTCTTTGATTGTCACACATGTATTCCTTAGTGATAACAAGGTCAGGTTTTAGTTTTAATTCCCCTTGCCATCCTTCCTGTTATCAGCACTGACACCCAAAAAGCAAGGCCTGATTAGGACCCTAACCATATTGTATATTTTGCATTTTTATCTTATTGGAAATAAACTAGTAATATTACAGATTTCAAATATTTACATGTTTTTACATTGGACTATGCATTATTATTTTCTTTGTTTAGTTATCTTTTGCTACTCTGTCTCTTACTCCTATCTCCCACTGTCCTATTATCTAACACACACACACACTCACTCCCCCTCTCTCTCTCTGTCTATCTCTCTCTCCATGGTATATAATGCACTCAGTATTAATGGCTAAAGATAGGTGAGGACTTGAACAAAAAGAATACTGAAGATCTGCACATCGCATGGTTGCTCTAAATGTATCTGGGCTGATGCTCGAAGTTTTCCCCAAGGCTCCAGTTCTTTGTCTTGTTCTCTCTTCCCCCTATATCACGCTATTCTCTGACCTTTTCTCTCTCTCTCTAACTCGTTTTTTTTCAGATGAGATCCAGATCTTCTATTTCTCCTACATTTTACTTTACTTCTCCTCCCATACGTCTCTGGATTTTTCAATGTCTCCTCCACGATGTCCTCCCCTGCCAGCAAATAAACCCATCCAATAATACAGTATCCAAAGTATTTTCATATGTTTATTTTTATCCATAACCCATTTCTTGTCTTTAAAAGGCTTCAGTTTTCCACCATCTTACTAAACAAAATGTTGTACTGGTCATTTAGTAAAAAATACTTCTGCTCTAGAGTTGGAAAGAGAGGCAGTATTACTATTGGTATAACTACATTCCTTCTGCTACTGCGCTTTGGCATTTCTAACTAATATTTGTGAGAAACTTTCTGAGTCCTATTGTTATGCTCTGCTTGGGGACTGCATTGTATATTCATTTTTTCTACAGTTCGAGCAGCTAATGGCATGAGGAATGAAGAAGGCTCCCTGAGACGACAGTGTAAAATAAAAGACTTGTCAGGACACAGTGGGAAACAGTATCTTCTTTTCCAAATTGGTGATATCCCTCTGGAAACTAACAGGTAATTGTCATAATGTCAGCTTATATTGATGCAGCAGTTTGTGATATTAAATGTAACATGTCATGCTTTGGCTTGGCTCTTTAAATTGTTAAAGCCCCCCAAAACCGTTTAAGTTGTAGGCTTGTAGAAAGGGCTATCAAAACTTTAATACTGTCAGTCAGTCAAATTATTTTGTGGTCTAGTATTTGATTAATGTATCTACAAGTGCTGTAAAATTAATCAGTGCTATATGTGACAGTGAGGGTACATTTCAGCTGCTTATAAGGAAAAAATACATTTTGTCAAAAGCAAGGGTGGCCAACGATGACGTTCAGGAAGGTAAATAATGGATTTCTAGACGGTGACGAATGTAGAAAATGACTCCATTAAAGCAGCAATTTAAGATTTAAATAAAAAAAGGTTGTGCATTAACATTGAGGTCTTTACATGTCTTGAATATAATTCTGTCTACCTGTAATAAAAGTGTTCTAAAAACCTGCAATAGTACTGCAAATGTACAGCACTGATGTGAAAGCGAAGAAAGGTTCGCTCCGTGTTCCAGCTCTTTATCAAGGTTATCCTACCAGGGCACATTTATACTGAAATGACCCAAGGCAAATGGAGGCAGGTGGAGGTTATTTAGGACAGATGTAATAAGCTCAGCTGAGCATGTGTAATTTATTTAACTGCGCAGAGAACCAGAAAGAAAAAGAGTTACAGAATTGTCACACCGCACTATAGGTGACACATCACAGCTGAAAGCCAAACTCTAGCATTCTATTACCATAGACAAGAAAATTACAGGTCAAGAAATAATGATTTCTTCCCACAATGTAATGCACATTAAAAATTGCTAATATTTTAAACACAAACAAAAAAGGAGTGCACCCAGAATTTGTGCCACGTGCTGCGGTCTAACAACCCCATCAATAATTGTTACTGTCAACTTTAGCTTTTTTTCACCAAATAGTTTTTGTGAATAAAACAGGTCCAATAGCAATTAGAGAAACAGGGTTATCAAGTTAAACAATTTAAGAGACTGTTTGGCCATAGTAATGACTGTAAAACTGCTTCAATGCTGTAGGCTGAGAAAAGTGCCACTGTGTTCTCTAGTGCAATTATCCTGCCAGCAATATAGGACTAATTAGCATTAATTAACATGTAATTAACCAATTAAAAATGTGTCTGTTGCTAAGGAAATGGCTAAATATTTCACTTAAAAGGTTGTTATTTGTTGCCCTGAAGGTTCGTAGGTGGACAACCATTGTTTGGATAAAAGACCGCTAAAGTTCATGGAAGAGATTTTCAATACTTTGTTACTGGTTATTTTTGTTATCTTGGAGTTACCAATGTCTTTGTTTTATTTTGTATGTGCTATATCTATGAATTTTATTTTTAATTGCTTCTCATAAAGTTTCTTTTTTATAAAACTTTTATTTTTGTGTCACACTTTAATCTCTTCACTACCAAAATCTTTAATACGTTTTTAATCTCATTCAACAACATTTAGGACATACCTCTTCCTTTTTGGCCAATGATGAGTCAAGAAGAGATGCATTGTCCAACAAAGCTTAATGCTTTCCCTAACCAAGGACACCAATAGAGGTAGGCACCTCTGTTTTTGAAAACTTTAAATGTATATCCTAACAATTAAGAATGGGGAAGAGTAAATTCAGATTTGTTTCTATACGACTGCACTTTTTTGGAAATGTATGTTATATCTCACAGTAGGAGTAGACAACCTTGTGTAACCAGCATTTTTCAAGTAATTGTGTCAACACATGATCTACTTGACATCAGCAGTGAATACTGTCATTATACCTAAAACTACTATACACTTAGCCATTCTCAGTCTCACCTGCCACCCTTAGCACGTAGGGACACTTATATGCAGTATAAACATTTTATATTATTGAATTGTTATGGTGCTTACAGTCCCCTGGTATTTAATTTTAGACCATTTTCGAGTAGTTTAACACTCGGCGGGAGTCCCTACCCACTCACAGCCATTGGGACACCACTATGACAAAGGCAGAGATTACTCAGTTCCTTAACCATACCAATGCATACCAGCAATGGGGAGTTGTGATAGGCTGAAAGCAGTCAACTGACACTCTTAGCTAATCACAGCAACCCATTGCTGCTCAGACTAATGCTTCATCTTAGTCCAAGTAGCACAAAGAGAATAGGGCTGCTGTGGACTTTTGCTTTAGAATTAAACAATTTAAAAAGGTTTAAGTGTCAGGGTGCTCCAGACACTATATCCACTTTAGTGAGATGCAGCGGCTACAGTGTCTACAGTGCCTCTTTAA